TTCTTATGCTTTACTTTTATATTATATCTTATTTTTTTGCAGCATAATTAAATTAATAATTAAATTAAATGTTTTGTGTGCGTTCGGTGAAGTTTTATGTGTGTGTTTTTCAAAGAATATTATTCAGAGGTTGCAAAATGATAACCACGTGGGATTCTACATATAATATAAAAGTAAAGCATAAGAAAGATGTGTAATAAAGCACGGGAATGGTGGGAGTTTTGTCACGTCTTTTTTTGACATGGATCACGCATTGCATGTGTACATTCGTGTAGTAGAATCATGGATCCGTCACAATTTAAGTTTTTCGACTCTATTGAAATAAAAATTCTTCTAAATAAATTCGTGATTTGTGTGAGACGGTGGCAACTGATTCCCGTTTTGTTGCAGTTTGAATCGATTCACACCGTCCATCTGAAAATAAGAGTTTTAAATTATGAGAAACGTAAATTTCACTATAATTGATTAGTCCTTGAATTTTCTATTGTTGAGGTGTTAAAAAAAGGTACTAAAACAAAAGAATAATTACATTGTCATTGAGAAAATTAAACAAGTCTATCAGATTTTGCTCAGAATATTCTATCGGTCTCTCTTTTTTTATATAATTTATCGTTGTATTTTACCACTAAAATACTGCATTATGTGCGAATCGATAGAGCGAAAAGAACGAAGAAATCGATAAACACAAATTCTTTCTTTACTTAAAAGATGAAGTTCCCTATCACAGATATCTAGACTCTATTAGGTATCTGAATCTTGCGTCCGAAACAATTGTACACAATATCCACGTAGTATATTGGAGAAAAAAGTGTCAAGAGCGAATGAAAATTCCATAATACTTTCTCAGATTATCATAAAAGTGTTGCAATTTCACTATTAAATTAATTTTTTTGTCAATTCAAACAATCTTTTCGCGACAAAGTAATTTAATATTCGAATTCGTATTGGGAAATGTGTTTCGAAAAATAGCAGAACAAGTCGTGTTTCTCCATCTGGAGTCACTTGAATGAAACATATAATATATGAATTTTGGATATTTTCTAAGTCGTATAAGTGATTCAAAAATACGATTTTATCGCCCAAAAGTATCTGACCATTCATTGAGAGTTGTGGGGTAACATTTACCTATAACCCAGAGTACATGTCGGATTACGAAACATCTGAACTTCCCCAGACATATGAACTTAAATGAAACTCCAGATTCTTGACTAATATCAAGGCAAATCCTAAAAATTGTGTTGCATTAAAATTGCTTTAATTCATACCAGTCGATAAAAGCTATATCGATCACGAACACAAGTTTGTTAAAGGCTCCCTCCCCCCAGAAATGTTGATTTTCGGTCAAAATATCGGTTTTGAGATAAGCACATGGGAAGATAGCCTGCAGTGTCTTCTTTCGGATTTCTATATCGCTTTTGGTCACAAAAGTGCTTTTTCCCGGATTTTGAGCAAGTTTTCTAGGCGTCTCGAAAAACTGAATCTTCAAATAATAGCTTTTTTCTGGATACTAATGCAATTAAAATTTTTCTAAACATACCGATTTGTAGAGCAGACGTTTCTGATCAAAATAAGACCTCGCACAACTCTGTATGACTCTGCATCAAAAAGTTACAGGCATTTTCCTAGAAGTTCTAAACTTGAATATTCCATACAGCGTTTAATACAGCGTTTTCTCTATATAAGAGTTACACCTGAAGTATTTCCTAAGATTTTTTATAGCGGTTTGTCATAGAGAGTTTATGCTTTTTTGTTTCAAAGAGGAGAAGAAACTACATCGCCTGACCGGCGCCGATTTTTGAATTAGGTCTTAGTTTTTTATCAAATTAAGAATTTTTAGAAAATGAAGTCACATTACTTTATCCGTAATGTGGCAATTCACGTTTCGCCTGTGGAAGCAATAACCAGATACTGAAAAGGATGAACTATACAGTATAATAACCGGATACTATGTGCACTGATCGTGTCTTGGTGAGAGCGTATATTCGATACCAGGATGAATTTTTATTGAAATAATAAAAAAACTAGGTATTAACTGTATATTGATTAGATTTCGATACATTTTTGACATTATTTGAATTTGAATCGTTTTTTGTTTGTTGACGATCTAATGTATTTTTGTTATTACCAATCGCGGTACATCATGCTTCAAAATGAAAGTGAAAATTTTGAAAAACGAAATGAGCTATCTTGTTCAGAATTCGATGTTGATTACGCTCATATAGTTTTTTTTCGAAATTGTTTTGAGCTGACTTCATCGAAAACCCTCCTATATCCTTTATGACTTAATTCATTTCACTTGTCGATGTGAAAATTCTCAGGTTCACGTGTATGTGATTATATCGATGACTAACTGACGTGTAATAGAATCTACATTACTTCGCAGATTATCTGGAAGTCTGAAATACAAGAAAAATGTTCTTTTTTCTGTATCAAAGTTATATACTGGCCAAAGGCGATAGAATCAATTAGTATAGGTTTCTTTGATGTTTTTATGTCATACACCTGTTAACTCAGCCAGGGACCTGAGTAGGTGCCGGACATTGGGGGGGTGTAACGAAAGTTTTTTGTTCGAGATAGTGTAAACTTTATTTTAAATAATTACCTTGTTACTGTTCTTTTAAACTTTTGGGGGGGATACGCACACCCCCACTCCCAAAATTCAGGTCTCTGAACTCAGCTATGTAACATATGTAAGTGCCGGTATTAACATATACCATATAGAGTAAATTCAAAACAGAAGTACATCAAAAAGCTTGTCAGCGTTGCTGCTTTGGAGCAAAAAATATAAAAACTTCACTAAACTTTTTCTTTAAGAATGCATAATGTTCATTGAGTAGAATAACAGAATAGCTTTCGGAATGCTAAAAGATCCTTTGTTTTTTCCAGTAGCTGTAAACACGCAAAAAAGCGGAAGATTTGATCATAAAAAATCTACGCAAACTGTTTACTCAAATGTGTATTTACAACCACTGAAAACTGAGTTTATAACTACTGAATAAAAATTGCTTAAAATGTAGAAATCATCTACCTATAAAACTAAACTTCAAACTTCCATTTCCTTCGGAAAGTGAACATATTCTTGGAAATTTTCACACAAAAATTAAACACAGTCGTCTGATATACCTAGTTCGAAAGTACTGTTCAATGTGTAATACTGTTTGAAAGTATGAAAAGTACTGTTCAAGAGGACTAGAATGTGACATGTATCAACTGTTAAGTCATAAAACAGTTATAATTCAGTATAAATTCATTTATTTTATTGCACTACGTACAAAACATTAAAAAATCTATCGAAATATAAAATTTGACGTGAAAGCTTTGAGCACAGATATAAAAAAAAGAGCACGTAAAAAATCTGAAATGACATTTATCTTGTTTATTTGTTTCTATTATGATCTTGATAACAACCGCCAGCATTGAGATCGCACAATGTGCCATTCGGACAACAATGAAGACCATCACTACAACACGTACCCTAAAAGAGATCGAGATAAGATTAATGAAGAATTATTCTTACTATTCAATTTCTATATTTAAGTGTATACAAGTGTCAGTAAGGAAATTCTCATAAGCAAAAATTATGATATATGGAAAAACACAATAAATATAAACCTACATTTGTAAATGCACAGCACTGATACTGATAAGTTGGTGTTTGACAACATGTATAATTAGTTGGACATGATACAAGTAAATTTGGACACGCATTAATAGGAGGAGAGGATAATCTTAAGTTCTAAAATGAACGAGAGTAAGATAAATAAAGAATAAAAACTTTTTTCATTGACGGCAAAAATTATTTCTTTGATCGATATTTTGCTCATAATTCTGTAACTAAGATGTTTTTTAAAATTGTGAAACTATCAGGAAATTGTCCGTTGATTCTCCTATCTATGGTAAAATATTGAATCACTAGGCCTTTTGAATCTAGACTTATGGCTTGAGACCTATATTGTTGTCAGCAAAAATTATTTGTACCATAAAAAAGAATTTCTTTTAATCTCATCAAAACGATTGGAAAATGTCAGAATACTATTTTTCGATAGTAGCGAAAAGCAGACATTTTTTGAAAAATCTTCGTCCTATCTACACGTGTGTTCAATAGAAAATAACCACTCTATACGTGTGTTGATAACTCTTTTTCTCGATAATAAAAAACAAAAAAGTTTTTGTCGACCATTACAATAAATAGTACGCACAAAAGTCTATCAGACGGGCATATTTTGAATTTCCTTGGACGACGATCAGATTAAAAATTTACGCCCCAAATAGCTTCCTTCAATGGCGTCAACGAATCTGGCAAAGTTTCTATGTAATAATAATATCATATTCAGAATCAGAATCGAAAACTAAGTCGACGAATGTGTATTACTATCCTATCCGAGTACTTTAATAGTTTTTCGAATTTTCACGTTGAAAAATCGAGATTTCCACCAAAAAATGAACATGAACTAAAAATGTTGAATACACATCAGTTGACTCACTTTTCGATCCTGATTCTGAATATGATACGTTTATTATGCAGTATGATCGAAGGTATTTTCTAAGCGTATGCGTGGGTAAGATGAAGATTTTTCAAAAAATTCCTACTTTTCTCTACTGTTGAAAAATAGTATTCTGACTTTTTCCAATCGTTTTGATGAGGTTAAAAAAATTTCTTTTTTATGGTATAAATAATTTTTGTCGAAAAAAATATTGCTGAAACGATAAGTCTAGATGCAAAAGTGATTCAACATTTTACCATAGACAGGACAGTTACACGGGCAATCTTCTGGTACTTTCACAATTTTAAAAAACATTTTGGTTACAGAATTATGAGCAAAAACATTGATCGTACAAATAATTTTTGCTGTCACTATAATAAAATCTTTTACCCGTTCTTGTGGATTCCCAGTATGAAGAAAATTATATGTTGGTTTAATATCATTTAATTGACATGATTGATCAGTTGGATTACAAATATAATTAAATGGACAACATACATTGCCTCGAGTACCACAACAAACACCCTACAAGAGAAAATTTTTTTTATTGTAATTAATCAAAAATTAATTAAAATTTTAACATTTTAAATAAACAAACTTTTTGATATGGACAACAACCATAGGATAGAACATTTTGATTTTCATCTGTATTTGGACAACATGTTGATTTTGAACTACATTTTGTTACACCATCTGGACACGTTTGATTGTCATTTATAGTTAAACCCTAGATAAAAATAAATGAAATGTTATTTATTTCAACAATGGCATATTAAGTTGCTTTATATTTTCATGATTAAATGAAGAATTTTGTAAGTCTTTTTGGCTAAACAAAAACGTCATGAATCCGTAAGAATCTCTATTTGTAACGTTAAATGTTTTAAATAAATAACATTTGTAATAATTCTATAACATGTATGTATCAAAATGCATGACGAGGAATGTCAGAATACGGTTATATATCGTTATGCAAACAAATTGACATACATCTTCTACTAAGAACGCTACACACGGTGTTAAACATGCACTGACTGAAACTACTCGTAGACTGGGTATGAGAGGTATCGTGGTAGGTACGTTAGATATCATGTGTATGATAAAGGGTATTCCACAAATTCTGAAACAATTTCTAGAACGATAAATTTACAAATCGTTTCAGAAAAAGAAATTCCTTATTATACCAAACGATAGAAAATATTCTCTACAAGATTGTATGCTCAGTTTTAAGATTCATCTTTGATATTTGGCACGGGAAGTCTCACAGGAAAAGCTCCAAATTTTTTTAGATGCACACAGTTTTAAAGTGCAAACTGCTCTCTTGTTTTAACTTGTTTATAATGGGTACAAAAAAATTTGAAATAATTTTATTACAGCCAAATGCTGAGGAATTTCATGCTTTACAAAAGCCTTTACTTGAAGGAAATTTATTTCAATTGCCAATGGCTTTCATACATAAACTTCCAAGTCCACAGAAGTTTCTAACACTAAAAAACAGTTTTGACTATTCCAGTATAAAATCCAACGTTCAAATCATTAGTTTATAGATCAAAAAATGCAGAATTTCGCGCTGTATTAGACTATGTAACTTATAAATAAATCTGTTACTTTTTTTACCTAAAAAAACTAGGGAAGATGGTTGAAAAATAAGAGAAAATGATCTTTCTTAAAGACTCTCTTTATCTCTGATTTTATCTAAACAAATCATTGTTTATCATTAAAAAAAACATCATATTGTAGAAAATTTCTTGCTGAATTTTTCGGTATACCTTGTTGTGTTTAATAAGTGATTTTTAGCGAGATTTTGCGCAAAAAAATCGATTTTTTTCAAGGCGTAGTTATAGAAGTTTGAAGCTTTTTCTGTTAGATTTACTGTGCGAAACATCAAAGATGAATCTTAAAATGAGTATACAATCTTGTAGAAAAATAAATTGTCTGTTGCTTGATATAGTACGGAATTTTTTCCTGAAATGATTTGTAAATTTATCGTTCTAGAAATCGTTTCAGAACTTGTGGGACACCCTTTAAGTACCATAGGTATATGGGATACCCAAATTCGAAATAAATACGTCGATATCATTACATAAATAATTACATTATTAAATCTCTCTAAACAAATTAGAGCGTCTGTTATTCTTTTGTATTCCTCTACTCATTCACATTAGCACTGTGTCAGCACTGTACTTTTAACGACAGAGTTACTCTCAATAAAATAACAAAAGTTAATCTTTAAAAACGAAAAACTTTCATTCTTAACTAATAAGTCTCAGTGGACGTTTTCGCTATTCAGCCTATCACACCCGTGGTTCTTATCGTATCTTTTTGAAGATATGAACAACGCATCACAATATGTAACGTATTTAAAACTAGAAACGTGCGATTCCATTATGTATCGATATTTTGATATCTCTGAAGCTAGCATGGTAAAAATCCTGCATAAAGGTAAGAAACATCACCGTATACTTTGACATACACAAACTATAGCGTTCATGCGTAAAATTTGATGCAGAGCTGGACAGCTTCGACCCGTCCCGGCTCCGACTCCACCCCAGCTCCGGCTCCTCTCCTAGAGTTTTCACATCCGGCTCCGACTGCGGCTCCGACTCCAAAAGATGTTCATCTTTCCTTGTGTTTCTTTCGCTTGAATTTTCTAGGCTTTCAAGTAGGGAAAAATATGAAAATGAAAATCGTTTTGAAGTACAACTATACTCTATAACTGCATGATATATACATAAAAAATCTTTTTTCGAAAGCGTTACATTTAATAGAAGAAGGTCAAGACTGAGGCAGCATATATTAACGTGCCATCAGCACACACACTCATATAACTACCTGCTGTAAGAGAGTCATTTTACCTCGATCGAACGCGCACATAATCATCCGCATACCGGCTCTGAACTCAACACTTCCCATCTAGCTCCGGCTCCGTTTATAAACGGAGATGACTCCCAGCTGCCGGAGCTGTCCAGCTCTGATTCGATGAGACACTATAGGAGTGAAGTACTCTTGGCTTGTTCTAGTAACTCATTTATTTATTTGCAAATATAAACAATTTGTCTTCAGTTTTCTATTTAAACACTGAAAACATATCAGCGTTAAGGAAAAAATTGAGTTCATTCAGAATCGTGAAAAAGTACGTTTTTGTACACAGCACACTCGATAACCAAGAAGATTTTCTATTTTTGACGAGACGTATTGTCAAAGGTTTAGGAGACAAATTTTCAAACAAAATGGTGAGAAAATGTTTTTCCATAGGGAAATAATATTAGTTTCAACATTTTTGCTAAACTTTCGATAGTACTACTCGTCAAAAATAGAAAATTTTCTGGATTATCGAGCGTGTTGAATACGAAAACGTACTTTTTCGCTGCTCTGCATGAACTTTATTTTTCTGTCAGTGATATAAGAACACTTTTGTTTCTGATAATTTATGAATTTGGACGCTCCTTCATTAACTATGTGCCGTGTTCGCAGTATTATCGAAGTAAACTTTGAATGGTAAGACAGAGAAAAATCTGTTCAACGATCCTAAAATAATTCTCAAAGTATTTGATTTGTTAATTCTTTTTTTTACTGTCTCGACAAAAAACGTATAGACAAATTTATACATACTTCGGTGAGTGGTATACGATTTGTACAACATGTCAATTTTCCTGTTGCAGGTGATCGACAATATTGTTTACATGACGGAGGACTGTGATCATGTTTATTCTGAACTACGTCCAACGTACTAAATAGAAAAAAAAACATTCTTGTTACTCGATATGTTTGTTTGATATAATACGAGCAGAAATCTTGATTGATACATGGAATGTAAGAAAGTAAGAAAGATACTGGTAACAGATCTTTACCATTCTCTACTGTTCAACAAAATAAACTCGTTCAGCTACCATCAGCAACTTTTACGGACAAATAAATTGAACGTCAATTTTAATAGTCAAAATAAGTTTAAAAAAAATGAAATAGCGAATAATAAATTGTAAAATCGAAAAAAAGATTATAATTAATGCGTTTTTGTCTGTTGCTGCTAATGTAAAAAGGAAAAGGAATGACGAATAAATAAGTTTTAAAACTTTTCTGTATGTATGATTCTTTTTTAAGTGACCGCCATTTGGTATAGATCAACAGCATCTCTCTGTTTATTTTTTCTTAATGCCACTAAATTGACAGATATATGAATTCTCAAGTACACTTGATATAACTATAGAGATCCAAATAATAAGATTAACAATGCTACTTCCTCTCTGGTACATAAGATGAAGAAATTATACAATTTTTCATAAATTAAACATTAATGCATGTACCACATGAAAAATCGATTGTTATAACTTTGTTTATTTTAAATAAAATAATACAGAAAATTTAATGAATGTAACGAGTATTATCAAAAACAAAGTGTTACCTAATTCTATGTGTATAGGTGCCTTTCTTCATCAATGGCATTTTAAATTTTTTCATTGCAGCAATAACCATGTCCAATGTTCGATTATTAACACTCAATGATGAGTCAACATGACGAATACATCGTGAACCCGATTTATCACACGAATAATCATGTGAACAACAATGGATCTTAAAAGAGGGATCTATTGTATATAGATTTCATATTTTATAAAGAAAAGAAAGATATTTTTTACCTTGTCAGCGCAGCACGTAGCCGATCCAAATGGACAACAACCATAACCACCTTAGATGAAAACAGATTAAATGACTGATTTATAAAGACAAGAGAACAAAAATAAAAAATTAATTTGTAATGTTTTGAGTAACTAAGAAGGAAGCCTATTCAAGTGATATCTTCTGATTTCGTTCGTTCATACGTCAATCGATAGAGGATATCGAGCTAGTAAAAAGTCTAAGAGAATTTTCCCCCATGGCTCTTGAAGACCCGTTTCTCAAGAACTCTAAAATATAACCAAAACTTTTCGTAATGAGACATAATAGTCCGCACATTTCTGATTAAAATGAAACATCTCCCAGTTCTACACGATCTTTCTTTGCAAAGTTATGGATCTTACAAGAAAAGTCCTAAATGTTCATTGTCAGCTCAAAGCTACAGAAATTAATTTAGAGTTTTTTCGTGTGAATTCTCTAACTTTGCAAAGAAAGGTCACGTAGAGGTGGGAGTCTTATTTTAATCAGAAATGTGCGGGTTGCAATTATGTCTCATTAAGAAAAGTTTTGGTTATTTTTTAGTTCTTGAAAAACGGGTTTTCCAGAAAACCGAGTCTTCAAAAGTCATGGGGGGGGGAGAATTCTTTTAGGCTTTTTACTAATCCGATACCCTCTATCGATTGATGTATGAACGAATGTATCACTTGGATACGTTTTCTCGTAAGCTGAAGTGTCTGACTGGCATAGCGATCCAATTCAAAATAGAATGTACTCTCTTGGTTGTTTGTTTTTAAATAACTTTTGACAGAAACGAGGTAGAGTCTTGAAATTTGTGTAGACTTGTAGATCTCGATCCGATGCATCGAATTCACTACTCAGAATTCAAAATTCAAAACTTTTTTCCAGTGTACAGAAACCTTTAGCAAAAAGTTTTAATAAGGATTTTTCAATTTTATGGTTTATGTTTGTCCAACATTTTTCTTTCTAAAACAGCATAACGCAAGTCTCTACCTTTTTTTCTGTCAAAAGTTATTAGAAAAACAATGGAGTACATTTTATTTTGAAATGGACAGTAGTTAGATTTAAATAAAGCAGAAAAGATTTTATTTTTGCTCACCTTCTTTTAATATACAGCATGTTGTGTCGTCTGGACAAAATGATTTTTCATCTAAACAAAAAACAACAACAATATGATAGCGTCACTAAGAAAAACTGAAAGAATATCAAACGTTTTCCTCACCTGGACATTGGACAGTGTGTAATGTCTCTGGTTTCTGTGGTGTAGCTAATTTATTATTAGTGGCTGTTGAAGGAATGGATTTAGTTTTCATGGCGGAATGTTTTTTTAATAGAGGCATGGAGAGAAATTCATATTTATCATGATCACATTTAAATACTTTCAAATCACATTTATAATGATGTGGACAACCTGAATAGATTGAATTCACTTAGAAATGATAGATATGCAGAGCAATACATACAATGTGTATGATCCGAGCAACAAACCTAAAATAAATAACAAGAAAAAGATTATAAATACACTAAGAATTTAAAAATATCATTAGTAGATTCATTCTGAGAGAAATATTTATTACAAAGTTATTTTTTTTTTAATAAGAAAACGCGAAATTCAGAAAGATGAATTAATAGTCGAGGATACATACGGCATCTTCAACTGGACAACATCCCCAAGTAGACTCTGCTGTCTGACAACAAGTCGATGTTGCTGGACATAAACCTTAAAAAGAATACAAGTTTCTATATAGTTGAGACTATAGAGACAAAAATTTCTTTACTTGTCGCATCTGGACAAATGATCTGTGATTGAACAGCCAAACTTAATCGCTGATAATTATTTTCTTTTGAATGAATGTCGATCATGGGCAATTCATTAACTGAGAGACTGTTATGTTCTAAAGTATAATGAAATAAATAGTCAAGAATGCATCCTTGAAAGAGATAATAGATTTTTTTTCTCGAAACAAATTGCTTTCATGATAATTGAAAATATTGTTAAATATATTACTGTTTTCACAGTTTAGTAGTTTATATTTACCTTGTACTATGATGATCAATGGAAAATATAGTTTATTTCGATGACAACACCAGAATATTATCTACCATTTTGAGTGAAGTACTTATTCTAGCTTATTCTCGTAACTCATTTATTTATCTGCAAATATTTGGGTCAGTTAAAAACTTCTGTCACTTTTCATAAAAAAAGGTATTCTATTGATTTATCTACAGCAAATGTCAGAAGTGGTAATACTCAGTTTCATTCTTTCAGTTTTAATATTTTGCTGTATTATTAAATTAACAGATACGGTAGTTAGTTCTTTGGTTATCGATGCTGCATTATGAGCAACCAAAAATCTCAAGAAACAAGGTAATATGAACAATGAAGATGAGTGAAACTAGTTTAATTATTCTTATTCAAAATGGGTAGTAACAACATTTTTCACATGTGACCTTGGATTGCTATAAGGAAGTTTGATGCAATTTGTTCTTTTGTTTAATACATTTTTTAACTAATAATTTTAAACTTTCATCGTAATAATAGATAGTATTAGCACATGTCTCTGAACGGTACTTGATAAATGTGTAATGATCCAAGTTACAGGAAACATAATAAACGATGATGAGATTTTTGGTCGCTTAGTTATTTAGATGCAACATCAATAACCAAAGAATTAACTATAGTATCTGTTAATAATACAGCAAAACATTTGAAAAGTGAATTGAAAGGATAAAACTGAATATCGAACATTGTGATGACTATCTCTAACGTTTGCTGTAGATAGATCAATAGAATGTCTTTTATTTTTATGAATAAAACATTGAAAAATGACAGAACTTTTTGATCTAAGTATAAACAATTTGTCATCAATTTTCTCTTTGTAATTAAAAGAAGAAAAAAAATAACACTTTTATTCCTGATTCGTTCTCAGTTCAGAAGTATTCCTTCATAAACTATGTATTTCAATTTTATGAAAGTAATCTAAATAAAGATTTTTCAACATACTTTTGGGTAATTTGAATGATGGTAATTTTTTAAATATTGGTAGTATATCAAATTCATCTTCTGCTCTTTTACATGTACTATGTTCAGTATCACAGGTGTATCCATGTGGACAACAGTGAAGATGATCATCTAAGAAATAGATAGAAAGATTGTATTTTGTAATAAAAATGGATAGACATTAATTATTTACTGCAACAAACAGCATCTGGTAATGGACAACAACCATATTGACCAGTTGATAATTGACAACATGTTTGACCTAAAGCAAAAAAAATAGTTCGTATTCATATCATTCGAATGATAATAGAATTTTAAAAAAATAAATTGTTTAATGACAATGAACACAAATACTACATAAACATAAACAAATTGTTCGATCATAAGCGGATGAAAAGAGATTTTACATAAACTATAAATAAAATGACTGTAACAGTAACGTTCTTACCATCTGGACAAGATGATTGACCTAAAAATAAACGAAATAAAATATAAAAGTACATATACAATATTTTTATTTACCATCTGGACATGTAACTGAATTATCGTTTAATGATGAATGACGTTTAATAAAATTAAATTTAGCTGACTTTAAAAACCAAGATGTGAGTGATTTTTTTAAACATCGACTATGCTCCGTATCACACGTGTAACCATGAGGACAACAATGTTCATGATCATCTAGTATATACGAGAAAAGCAAAAAATATATATTTTAGCTAAAAATGACTTATTTTCACCATATACATACTGCAACAAACAGCGTCAGCTAAAACCAAAACAAAGAAGATTTTAATGACATGACAACAACATTGATTATAAAGCGAATTTCTATAGAAAAACAACAGAATTGATACGCACTAATAACTGCAACAAGAAAATAGATGTCTGAAAATGAATCTCAATAAAAAAGAAAAAATTCACGTGACTGATTTTGATTACATCGAGTGAAAAAAGAGATAACAATCTGAAATGATTTTCAAAATGAAAAGTTGACTTGACGCTTAAACGTATCTTCTTTTCGAAGAAGTTCATGTGTTCAAATAGATAAAATATCTAAAGTGTTCTCTCTAAATGACATCTTTAGGTTTAGTTAGTTTCGGTAGGAAATTTTCTAAGAGTTTTGCCATTATACATTTAATTTTCACTCCTAAACCGACTTTTTCAAGTAGAAAACTAAAATAATTTTAAAACGCACAAAACTTTCTGAAAAATCATTCTAAATGACTAGAATTAGGGCTTTAATTATACTTATAAACTTATTAGTAAAACCTATCAGCGTACCGTAAAAATTGCTGGTTATTCAAATGAATTTTAATTGAGTCTATAAATTTTTTATCTGCGAGTAAAATTAGATAAAAATGGATAATTTAGTCCAGGCAGTTCTAAGATCTTCAAAAAATTCGTTACTATACAAGAACGAATCAAACATTTTCTACATTGGAATAAAATAAAATAAAATTACGTACGTAATGGGCAACAACCATATTGTCCACTTGACAATTGACAACATGTTTGACCATCTGGACAAAAACTAAAATGTGTATGATTAAATATTAATAATAGAAAAAGAAAAAGTTCTACACGTTTATATTCACAAACCTTTGACCATCTAAACAAAGAGAAAGAAAATATTTAAATTAATATCAATAGAACAAAAGTATCTTGATAAACTGATTTACCTGGACATTGGACGGATTTTGGTGTTAATGAATGTGGAATTAAGTTGAAACCAGTCTAAAAAAAAATAAATCATAAAAAGTGTCTAATCACTAGAGTAATGTTTAAATGAATTTATGCATGAAAAGTTTTTAAAATAATCATTTCACTATATAACGTTTTAATATTAGATAAATCAATTGATTTTTTTTCAAAATTAATATTAAAATAACCTACCGTTTCAACAATTGTAATTTGATTATTTTCTTCTTGAACAATTTTCTTTGTACAATTACCACCTGATGAACATTTTTCTCCTTTTTGACAACATGTTTGACCATCATTACAACAAATGGCATCTTCTAATGGACAACATGCCCATAAACCTTGATTTGTTAGACAACATGTTTGATGTTCAACACATGTTACCTAGAAGAAAATATATTTTTTTTTATAATAATCTATAATCTAATGTTTATAAATAATCAAAATGGGATTACTTACATTTGTTGGACAATTTAATGGGTTAAATGCTTGACCTATGCCAATGAATAACAGGACTAATGCTAATGAATACCACATAGAGACCCGATAGATATTCTAAAGTGACAAAAATAATGTGACTTAGTTAAATATTTCTTTTATATTATGTTATACTCAATGTTCTTCACACATACGAATAGAAGTAGTGAGCAAGATAACAGAGATAATAGAATACATTAGAGAAAAGAATATTTAGATTATTTTTTAAAATGAGTAAAAAAAAAATAGATATTTTAATGACACCTTTTTCTTACTCAATAAACAGAAATAACAATTTTATATAAAACCATTTTATTTAACAAACATTTTTACCACAATGTTTAACAAGTAGTCCTTATCATAGGAAAACATTAGCTTGTACAAGATCGAATGTGGTCAACTAAAAAAACGAATGTTCTTCATCATTTTTCAAATAACTGTTGATTTGCGGTTTTCACCATTCGATTAACAACATTTTTACATAGGTAAAAAGTAGATCTGAAAGTTTTTTCTCAATCCGATTTTCAGAGAAAAATCCAGTCTAATCTCACAAAATTTCAAATAGCAATATTTTGTTGTTTTTTCATGGATTCACAGCGTCATTATTTTAAGAGTCAAGCGAACTCTTGAAATTTGATCGTTTAGGCGTGGTAACGATCTTTCTACGAGCATCAGATCTGGTCTCTGATGGCTTTTAATAGCTCGAGAAATAGATCGAACATAGATAATCGACTGACGTTGAATTTTGTGACAATATTTCTTTTTTTGGAAAAATCAAAATTTAGTGAACTCATTTGAACTCTACACATGATTCTGGAATAAGAAAAGCAAGAAGTATTTTCAGTTCTAGAAATTTAACTGGAAAACTAAAATATTTTCTCGAAACTTTTTTCAATTTTTATAGACCAGCTCAAATTAAATATGCTCTGATGTTTCGACGCTGTTATGATCAATTTTGATGGATATATGATTTTTTAATATCTAGTGAAAATGTAAATATAATGGTTTATTTCACATAAAGTCAATTTTCACTAAATTTTGAATTTTCCAAGAAAAAAAATATTGCCAGAAGATTCAACGTGGTTGATTACGTATGTTTCATTTAAATTCTAACTATCTGAAAGTCTTAAGATTAGACTTGATTTTCTCTGAAAATCCGACTGAGAAAAAACTTTCAAACTCTTATTTTTGCTTAATGTCCTCGACCGAATGGCAAAAACCGCTGGTCAAAAGCTATTCGAAAAATGATGGAGAACATTCTTTTTTTTCAACACACAATACTGACCTCTACAGATTAAGAAAATGTAACCTGAACAAAATCTGATCAAAAGCAGTTTGATATGTGAATAATGTTGATTTTAATACAAGCAGAGTTTTCTTGCATGAGGAGAAGGTAATAATCAATGGATTTGTGGATACAATTGTTTAGAAATAAGTAGGCATGCATCAGTTACAGTTAACTGTCGTAACTGTAACTGTGAAAACTGTAACTGCTCATGACTGTAGACAAACATTCTAGAGTGAGTTAGTCTTCTATGATCCGGCATACATTTTAAGGATGTCTCTGTTCTTAAAATGTATGCAAATCGTAGAAGACTAACTCATCGTAGAATATTTGTCTACAGTTATGAGCAGTTACAGTTTTCACAGTTACAGTTATAACAGTTATAGTTAACTGGTAAAAAACTGTAACTGATGCAAAAGAAGTGGGAATGTCTGTACATTCAAGGCACAGAATAGTATAACTTTGAAACTCTTATCTATTTGTTTGCGTTTGTCATGTCGTGTCTCTTCTTTGATATAAACAAATTTATCTTAATATACGGAATTCTTGCAAACATATCTAAAATTAATATTAACAATGATTTAGACATCGTGCTGATTTGCATTCGTTTTATGAGGGCAACATGTTTATTCTGCAAAATAGAATAAAGTTGAGAGATCAACACGATGTCTAAATTATTGATAATATTAACCTTAGATATGTTTGCGAGAAGTCTGTATATAGCAAAGAAGAGACAACTTAGGACTAGAGACCTGCAACCCGACCCTAGGGTCGGGTCGAGTTCGGGTTAAGATGCTGTCGGGTCGGGTTCGGGTTGAATATTTGGCGACGCAATTTAAAATATAAATAATATTTTTAGGTTTGTATTACTGGTTGAAAGTTATGAAAGACTTGTTTCAGAACAACTGCATTCACTAAGTCGACAAGACAAGTCTATATTCTTTCTCAAACACAGTTTTCTGGTGAGATTGTTTTCATCGGGTCGGGTTCGGGTTCAGATGTTATCGGGTCGGGTCGGATTCGGGTTTAGTTGTTGTCTGGGCGGGTCGGGTGCGGGTCGGCATTTTG